CGAGGCGGGGCTGAGCTGTGGGCGCCACCCCCTGGCACCACCCCCGCCCGGTTGCTGGAGCTCCTTAGGGAGCAGGTTGTTGCTTGGAAAGGCTCGGGTTGCTCCCAGCAGACACGGATCTTTGATTAAAGCCCCTCCAAGCGGTGCAAAAACTCTTCTTAGCGTCCAGGAAGAGCACAGAGGGGGTGCAAGAGGGTGCACCCCCTGCCAAAAGCGTGGCGGCCCTGCGAAAAGGTACCGCTGGCAGTGTGGCAGTGCACCCCCTGAAAAAAGCATGGCAGTGTACCCCTGCGAAAAGGTACTGCTGGCAGTGTGCTGGTGTACCCCCTGAAAAAAGCGTGGCGGTGCACCCCTGCAAAAAGGCACCGCTGGCAGTGTGCTGGTGCCCCCCCTGCAAAAAGCGTGGCAGTGCACCTCTGCGAAAAGGTACCGCTGGCAGTGTGGCAGTGCACCCTCTGTAAAAAGTGTGGCGGTGCCCCCCCTGCAAAAAGCGTGGCAGTGCACCCCTGCAAAAAGGCACTGCTGGCAGTGTGGCAATGCACCCCCTGCTAAAGTGTGGTGGTGCACCCCCTGCAAAAAGGCACTGCTGGCAGTATGGCAATGCACCCCCTGCTAAAGTGTGGTGGTGCACCCCCTGCAAAAAGGCACTGCTGGCAGCGTGGCAGTGCACCCCCTGTGAAAAGGCACTGGTGGTGCCTGTGGGTGGTCAGCAATTGCCACCCCCACCCCTTGCCGTTGACACCACCAGCGGCATCTACGGATGGTCAGTGATCACCGCTGGATGCTGCTGATGCATGATGGTGGGTGCTTGCCACCCCTTCTTCTTCCCACCGCCAACAGTGCCTTGGCCGCTGGCAGGAGCTCACCACTTGCCGCTGCCACGCTCCCACCACCAACAGTGCCACCGCTGCTGGTGGGAGCTCGCCGTGCTCCCCGCAGCCTCCAGGGGCACACTGCATTCATGGCACAGACCATTTGCAGATGCTTCCTCCGCCTGATGAAGGGCGTTTGTGCTTGAAAACTTGAAAGGAAGAATTTTTCCGGCTATTTGAGTTGGTCTAATAAGGGATACCAGATTTACCCAAAGAACCTTGGCTGCTTCTGTCTGTAGACCAACAGGGCTACAACCTACACTCCTAAACATGTCACTCTGAAGCAGTTTGTCCCTTCAGGCAGCGTTTCTCCACCCAGGGGCTGCGTCCTGAAAGTGGGTCTCGAGAGTCTCTGAAAGGACACGAACACACTTTAAAAATGGATTTTCCTTTAAAGGAGAAAAACGTGGGGAATTGTGGCTTTTCCCTGGCAGGCATTTTCCCTTTCCTCATGCTGGGGGAGTGGGTGGTGCGCACTGCAGGACTGGGGCTGAGGGGCAGCGGGTGGGGAGTGGGGGGCACTGGGTGGAGACTGGCCATGGATGTTTACAAATGGGTCCTGGGACAAAAGGTTGAGAACCACTGCCTTCAGGTGCCCACCACCCTGCCTTCGGCTGCTTGTGCTCTCATGTGAGCCACCTGGCGAGCCTGGGGGCTGCCCCTCTGCTTTCAAAGTCACACTCCTCGGGTGCGCTGCTGTGTGGTTTCTGAGGGTGCTCGCCACTTCGGGACTGCATGCAATGACGGCTTGGATTGTGCTGTCTCTGTACCGTGACACCAGGCGCCTGAGGCCTGCTCTGCAAATATTATCTTAGTTTTGGAGTCCCTCTGATGTAAAGCTGGGTGGTGGCAAGGAAAGAGGGCAGTCAAGTCTGAGGTCAATGAAAGTGCCCCACACTTCCTCTTTAACAAGACTTCAATATGTGCCAAACCTTTGGGGCCAAATACTTGCATACTATCAGATTCCAGTTGAGAATATGTGTATAGCTTTGAGCTGCCATATGCGAGGCAAGGGGACTCGATTTACTGTGAAAAATGCTGGTCATTTCTGTGCCAGGTCAGTAACCTCCTTCATCTGGTCCATGAGCAAATTGCAGCATCAGTCACCTGAAAATAAACAACTTAAAAAGCAAAAAGAACCGGTGGCCCTAAGGCAGCCATGTCAGTAAAAATGGATTTGTATTTCTTTTCTCATTACTGCCACTTTTGTTTTTACAAGTTTTGCAGAAAACAAGCAGCTTGGAAATGCTCGCAACAAAATAACCTCACAGAAAAGTAATTAATCAGCATCTCGGGGACAATGAAGGCTTTTTGCACAAGAGGGCATGGCCATGTCATATTTGAAATGAACTGATCAAGCAGGAACTGGATGGATCTTTGATCTTAAATGAATCCAGTGGATTTGAAGTTGGTTTCTAAATTTTTTTATTGAAGATATATGTGGGATTGAATAAAAAAAAATATTTCATTGCTCTCATGCAGTTAGGATGCTTTATTTCTGAACGCTGTAGCTCATCACAGCTCCCATTTGAAATAAAGGAACAGATTGTCCAGATTATTGAAAGAAAGGGGATATGCTCAGTTATGCTGTTCCTGCTTTTCCCTGCAGCCAGTTTTCTGATGAAAAATGCCTAAACTGGTTTCCTGACAGTTTTAAACAAACAGTACAAATATCTTCATAGACATCCTGTCCCCTTCACTGCCATTTTAAATATTCTTTTATATATGAGCTATCTTTAAATGTAAATGGTGGGTAAGGCCCTTGCCTTTCTGTCTCCCCAGATCTAATGATGTGGTTTTAAGAAGTGATTTGTCCACTTAAATGCGCATAGGCTATTATCAAATTCCAAAGCTGGAAATTAATTTTCTGTGGCTTTAATCATAATCTCAAGGCTTCTCCTTTCACTACATTTGTATTGTGAGTGTTGTTGCTCCTACCATTACATAGCAATTCAGCTCAATTAGGAGCCTCATGAACATACTCCCTGGCTCTTCTGAAATGAGTGCTTTGGTTTCTCTCAACCATGCAGGATCATGTACTTAACTAAAAAAGTTGAGGAAGTCAACATCTTTTTTTTATCTATTTTATCAGGCCTGGATATTCTGTATAAGCCTCAGGCTACATTCCAGAAACTCTTGCCTTTGGTAGTTTTTCCTCGTTTAATGTAAATAGGTCCATTTAAGGTGAAATTTACCTCTAAAAATCCCTGGTGCGGTGGTGTGCTTCATCACCTCAAGTCATGAGCAAGATTCAGGGGTGGATCTGGGAAGGGGAGGGGTGCACTGGTGCACCCCTCTTTGAGTCTTACTCCACCCAAAATCTAAAGCAAACTACATGTCAGTGGAAGCAGCATTTCTACTCAGGTAGTAGTGACAGTCAGTTGACTTAATTGCTCATCATCATAAAGTCCTTGATTCCTTCTAAACTCTTCTAATTCCATAGGTGTTAATGACCCTCTTGCTTTTTAAATGGTCTTCAATAGTTTCACTACTCCAGCTATCTTTCCTTCTGCAATGCTGCTGTCTGTTCACTGCACCTAGTTATATAGCTTCCATTTCACACCTTTACAGACTGTTTTTTAACTCTAGCTAAAGCCATTAACTCAGGTGTGGAAATCTTAACTCAGGTGCACATAGCTGAGGTGTGAAAAATCACTTTCAATGAAGCCCTGGAGGCACTGTCCAGAAGCTCAAGGTTTCATTTGGTTTTAATGAATCTGAAAAAGAGATGCACATTTAAGTAGCATGACTCCAGAACTAATGAAACAACATTTTTAGATTAATTGTGCCTAGTCTGCTGTGTTTTTATATATAATATATGATATAGCAATGGACATTTCAATAAAGTGTTAGGGTTTTTTTTTTCCTTCAATCTTAAATTGAATAATATAGCTTGAGACCCCTGCTTATTATGAAGTTTCTAGTTTGTTTTTAACTGGAGAAAAATATGTGTTGGGTTATATGTGATGATATACTACATCATCTGCACCCCGTTTTCAAAATCCTAGATCCACTCCTGGTGAGATTTCTCCCAATTTTACTGGCTTGGGGCAGTGAGTGGTTGTCCTATCACTCAGTACAGCGATTAGAGCCATCTTCTGATAGCATTTTCTTAAAACACCACTGATGTCCCCATAGGTATAACCCTTGTAAGGGACAGAAGTTACAGTGTTTGAAATCATCTTGTTTCCAAACTCGGAAATTCAGGACTGGCTTTGTCAAGGACAATTTCTTTCAGCATGCCAAAGGATGAAATCTTTGTAGGTTTTCTATGATTTTTCCTAACCCTCCAAACCTAGAGAAAATCTACAAGCTGCTATGATCTGAAAGAAACAGAAAATACCTGATCACAAAAATGCTCCCTCATTTTCACCCAAGTAAAGAACTTTTCTTCCAAGTGGTACTGGTTCGAAGGCCAAGATGGGCAAAACTCATCCTGGGCGAATGGCCTGATTTTTGGGGGGTTTATAGACTAGAAACAACATTTTTTCCCATTAAAATAAAACCCCAAAACAAACAAGAACCTCCCCCCCAAACCAAAAAACCCCACAGGACTCAAGCATAGCACCTTTGTTTTTAGCCATCAGATAGATAGATGTAATGTGGAAGGGTGTGGGTAGGGCGGGTCATTTTTTCTGTTGAATGTCATGAATCTACTTTGAAAGCAGGCACAATCCTTCAGCTTTTGTGCCATGTTTAGAAAATGGGAAATTTACTCACAAGAAGGTTTCTTGTGTAAAAAGATACATTGATAGAAATACATATGTCAATATGTACTTGCCCAAATGTTCATAGCTGACAGGGTATCTATCGCCCTTCCTCTAACCTAGGTAGAGCACCGTGTTACGTGCTATATGGTTTCTATAAGCTAGCTTGGCTATCTCTGTTGCACAGCATTTTGCCACATGGGCACAGCCATCCTAAGAGCTTTCAAGGGTGCAATGTTAGCTCCAAATCTTGAATTCTTTTCAAAAC